AGCCTGATAATTTTTTTTAAGTCTGAGTCTCCCTCTGTCACCCAGGCTGGCATGCAGTGGCATGATCATAGCTTACTGTAGTGCAAGCCTCACAAGTAGCTGGGAACACAGCATGAACCACTATGCACAGCTAATATTTATTTATTTATTTATTTATTTATTTATTTATTTATTTTTGTAAAGAAGAGAGTCTCACTATGTTGCCTAGGCTGGTCTCGAACTTCTAGTCTCAAATGATCCTCCCTTGTCGGCCTCCCAAAGTGCTGGGATTACAGGTGTGAGCCACTGTGCCTGGTTGAAACGTCGCATTTCTAACAAATCCTAGGTAATGATGACACTGCTGGTCCAGAGGCCATTGTACATTTTATAATTCAGAAGACACATACACACAGCTTATCTTGTTTAATTCTCACATCATTCGTCATTGACAAATGAGGGAACTGTGGCTAATGAGGACTGAGGGTCTTACCTAAGCTCATACAACACTAAGCGAAAGACCTAGGCTTCAAATATGTCTTATGACGGCAACGTGAAGATTTCTTTTCACTTAACTATGGCTGTTTCCTGGAGTCAATGCAAAACACAGAGAGAAACCCAGGCATCTTATAGACATTTAAGAAACAGAGGTGGGTATTTTGTATGTTATCATTTTAAAAATTGGACTATTGTTAATTTTGCAATTCCTTGGAAAAATTCCAAAATTTCTTGTAAGTATCGACAAAAAAAGAACAAGACAAGCTTGTATGTTTGTTTGTTTTATGTCAAGTAGAGCAGCAGAGGTAGGAAGGGTTGAGTGCCCTTTAGAAATAACCATGGTTATACTAGCAGCCACCCTATTACCTAAAGACTGGGCAAAATCTGGAGTCATTAGACTAAGGAGTTGCCAGCTATCGCTGATAATTATTTTTCAAAAAATCATTCATTTCTTTACAGATGAAAAGCCTTAACCAAAACAAGTTCATCTACAACAGTACTATTTCAAACAGTATTAGGGAAGATACTTTGAGGATTATGAGAGCTTTATATTACCCTTCCTATTGCTTCATTTGGCTTGCAACTGTGATGCCAAACTCTCCATTAGTTTTTCCTAACCACTTAATTAACTTTTTGAAAAACCAGGACCAAAGACCAACCATTGAGAAGGATTCGTGTGGGTCATCATCTGATGAGGGCAATTTGCTGCACCTCCTTTTTTATGTTGTCAGAATGAGGACCAGAACTCTTGTGGACATTTCCAAAGATTCACACCAATATTATGATGTATCCTTATGTAGTTATCACAGGTATTTATATTTACAAGTAGATTGTGATGCCTTACCTAGCACAACTGAACCTATTATCGCAACTATCTGGGGCTTCTTAATGGCCTGGACTGTAAGGCAGCTGCTCCTGCCTTATGACCCCATTTTATGAACCAAAGTTAGTAGCAAGCCTGGCCAGCAATTCCTCAGTTCTTGTGATGTGTGTGTGCATTTATGTGTGTATGTGTGTGTAAGTGAAGGTAGAGGATTGAAAATACGAAAGAAATTTTTTAAAACAATTGCTACTCTTCACTGAATAACCTGCTTATAAAAAGTGCACAAATTATTTTTATTATTATTTTTTTTTTGAGATGGAGTTTTGCTCTTGTTGCCCAGGCTGGAGTACAATGGCACGATCTCGGCTCACCACAACCTCCACCTCCCAGGTTCAGGCGATTCTCCTGCCTCAGCCTCCTGAGTAGCTAGGATTACCGGTATGCACCAGCACACCCAGCTAATAGTAGAGATGGGGTTTCACCACGTTGGCGAGGCTAGTTTCGAACCCTTGACCTCAGGTGATCCGCCCGCCTCAGCCTCCCAAAGTGCTGGGATTATGGACAAGAGCCACCATGCCCGGCCAAAAAGTGCACAAATTATTAAATGCAGATGTAGATGAATTTTCACAAACTGAGCACACTTGAGTAACTAGATAAATAAATAGAACATTACCAGCTCCATGGAAGTTCCTATTGTATTCCTTTCTTGTCGCTACCCTGATCAAGAATAACCCCTATTTCTGACTTCTAACACTATACATGAATTTTAGACACATATATAAATGTATCATACAGTATACTCTTTTGTATCTGGCTCTTTTGCTCACCATAATGTTTATGAAATATCCATAGTGTTATGTGTACTTGTATAATGTTGACTCTCACAGCCGTCTAGTAATCTATAAGTTTACCACAATTTGTTGATTCATTCTACCATCAATGATCACTCAAGTAATCTTCAGTTTGGAGATATAAATAGCACTGCTATAAATATTCTAGTACACGTTCACTGATGCTCATATGTATATAAACTCTATCGCATATAAACCTGGGAGTGACATTGCCAGATCACAGGTTTGTATATGTTATGTTCAGTGCATACTGCCAGTTTTGAAAAATAGCGGGCTCAATTTACATTACCCTACACACAGCATGAGAATTTTCTTTGCCCTACATCCTTGCCAACAATAGGTATTGCCAGAGGTTTTGATTTCAGCCATTCTGGTGAGGATATTTGGTAACTTGTTTTGGTTTAAATTCACAGATGTTAGATATTTGGATATTGTCTTTGTTGAACTGCCAGAGTAAGCCTTTTGCCCATATTTCCATATCTTTCTTAAAATCTCCTTCTATCTTCTCTACTCTCTGTACTCCTTGGAGGACTGTTAACTCCTTTCCATTAAAACCCCCAAATGTCCAACAGCATGTAGACAAATACATTGTGGCATATGCATACAGCAGCACACGATGCAACAATAAAAAATAAGTGACCTCTGGATACCCACAGCATACATAAAACTCAAAACCATCATGATAAGCCAAGTAGGCCAAATACAAAAGAATACATGTAATATTCTACTTGTATGACATTCTAAAATAGGCAGAACCAATGTAGAGTGACAAAACCGATCAGCGGTTTCCATGAGTCAGGAGGCAGAGTTCACTGCAGAAAGGCACGAGGGAACATTTTAATGTGATGGAAATGTCCTGTCTTGATTTCCGTAGTGGTTACATGGGTCTATCCATTTATCACAACTCTTTGAACTATATACTTAAAATGATAATTTAATTGTATTAAATTATACCTCAATAAAGTTTATTTTAAAAGAAACCCTTTGGGAGGCCAAGGCAGGCAGATCACCTGAGGTTGGGAGTTCGAGACCAGCCTGACCAATATAGAGAAACCCCGTCTCTACTAAAAATACAGAATTAGCTGTGCGTGGCGACGCATGCCTGTAATCCCAGCTACTCAGGAGGCTGAGGCAGAAGAATCACTTTAACCCCGGAGGTGGAGGTTGCAGTGAGCCGAGATCATGCCATTGCACTCTAGCCTGGGCAACAAGAGCGAAACTCCGTCTCAAAAAAAAAAAAAAAAAAAAAACACCTTTTACTGAGCCCTACCATGTGTAACCCATAAGATATGGTGAAATTAGGGCTTTTCATGGGCCACAGTGATCAGTCAGGATGCCCATAGACCCATGTGTACTCCACCCAAGAATCCTATCTTTCTAGAAGAAAAGGCCGAGTTGCCAACACCTTTTGAAATAACTGTTTTGATTGAAGACATCACAAAAGGCTGGTTCTGGCTACCTTGGCCACCTCATACCCCACAAATGGTTTTGTTTCCGCTCACTTACGGCTGCCTGCCAGTCACCCAGTGAGCAAGCCAGCACACTTAACAAGCTGGCCCATCACCACATTTAAAATATACAACGCAAACGCAGGCGTTTCCAAACCCTGGGCTGGGGAAAGAAACCTCCCCAGTGAGTTTTCCCAACATTTTACCTTTTAGAAGCCAAGCTGCAGTCATTTTTTCCTTTGACTCTCAAGGGAAATCTTACAGGGACCATGTTTCAGAAAGCTTGTCTCCCATAGCGCACCAGAGCTGCGGTATTTTAATAGCCTCTCTCAGCCCCTCCCCTGGGAACATATTATTATGTGATCATTAGTGATGGGCAAACCTCACTGGGTTTCCAGGTTTGAGTCTGTGCCAGAAGTTCAGAGTTCCTCCTTTCTTGACAACTCAAAATGTCCCCTATTTTTTTCCCTTTTATTTATTCATTTGTTTGTTTATGTGTGCTTTGCATGGTTTCTTCCTATCTATCTGACCACACTCTCCAGCGTTTTCTCCACTTTACACCACAGAAGAAAGGAAGGAGATGGGTCAGGAAGCAGGAGTTTCTTGCTGGTTCCTCTCTGTTGAGGTGCCCTATTGGCACAACCAGAAAAGAGTGACTAGACACCCGCTGTATGCCCATGACCACAATTCTGGTGGTGCCCAGTGAGTTAGTAGGTGAATAAAGGATAAAGGCTTTTCTTAGAAGGGTTTCCATTCCAACTGGGATGCTAGGACAAACAGGCCAATAGATGTATTGACAAAGGCATGCAGACATTGCTCCACCAATATACTTTAAGGACTAAGCAGTCAAGGTTACAGGAAGACTGAATGCGGTGCATTAAGAAGTTGTAAAACAAATGTGAACATTCTTCATTTGTGGCGACAATTGCTGTTTCTGAAATACAAGAATAAGGCATTGAATTCATTATATTGAAATTCAAACACTCCAATTGAAGATTCCTGTCTATATTTTCCCCTCTAGAGAATGGGAGCACTAATATTTATTCCATGAGCTATATTGTTGGTTATGGAGCTAAGTGGAGTACTGAACTTAAAAGTTAGGGAATACATTCAATTCAAATCCATTGAGCTTCGGCCAGAAGGCTGATACTCAGGCCTGTGTTTGTAAACTGGACCCACTAGCCAGGGACTCATAGGGTCATGGGGACAGTGGGGACACATAGTCTCAAGCCCTCCCCATCTTCCATTAGAGGAATCCCAGAATACAGCATGTCCCATGACCTTGAAGAAGGCTGGGAACGTCCAGGTCAGAGGCAACAGCTGGCCTAGGAGGGCTGCCAGAATTTCCGGGACACTGATGCATTCAGAATAGGAGAAAAGGGAACATTGGAGGGGGTGCCTGGCAGGGGGGAAAGGGAGAGGAAAGCAGAGGGAGCTCAGAACTGATAAATTCAGATTTGTGTGTTTCACTCAGCCTGAAAACACCAGTGAGTCACTTATGGTAATTTGTCTTTTCTCTTTAACACATGTTCTCCAGTTTGTCTGAAACTATACTGTGTCTACTATGAATAATTTCACACAGTTACAACACAAAATTTGTTCTTCTGCCCCAAAAGCAGCCACTTGTTTTTGGACCAGATTCTCCCAATGTGTACTAAATCAGGAAGATCATTTCTGCCACGGTTAAGGCCTTCCCACTGCTTTCTGTGAGGCTGCGCTTCTTAACATACCTATTCCTTACAGAAATTTGCTAACAGACTAAGGAGATGTGTGTCCTATTCATTTTGTTTGTTTGTTTTCTTTAGAGAACATTTTTATTCTCCCTTAACCTTTATCATATTGATTGCTGTTTGGAGACAATCTTGGGGCAGAAAAGCAATGTGTTCAGAGTACTGTAATTTATAAGTATTGTCATTTTATGATTGCATTGATTGTTATTTTAAAAGTGGTTTTACAAACTGAAAATTGACAGAAGGTAGAAATGCATAGAATTGGTGATATCAGAAATGCACAAAATATCTAAGACAAGGAAGGTAACTAGATTTCATCTCAGATGCCAATCTATCAATTAGTAGTGACTGCTGGCAATGTTGTTCTAAGACAGAATCTGAGGCCACTTCCAGGCTTAGCAGGAAAAAGGGCCAAGAGTTGATTAGTAATGTCTGCCATAGCGGAGTTGATTAGTAATGTCTGCTGTTGCGGTGCCTTTATGGTGAGTGGGGAAGAGGATGGGCAATGGGGTATTAGCACAGACATTATGTATATTCTATTTCTGGTCTGGGCAAAATATTCATTCAAACAAGCAATACATCAAGGAAATTATGTAGGAACTGACCAAACTGAATAGAGACCTGAGCATTTCCTTTTGAGTATGTGGCTGGATCAAACCACATCTCAAGATACTGTTAACCTGATGATTCCTCATCTATGTAATCATATTTTTATCCTGACACATAAGTAAATGACTTGGAGATTGCTCCTAGTTTAAGGTGTAAATAATAAAAACACACTTAAAATTTGCACTGGAAATTAAAAATCCCTTTCACATATAAACATTCAACATGTTATCCAACCCCTGCTGCCTTCTGCATCTTTCTGGTGCCATGTTTCTTGTGCCTCCTAGACAGAAGTTGTGGGACTGATGCTAGAAGAAAGAGAAAAATTTAAATAAAGAAATGATGCTGTCATTATTTTTAATGGTTGATTTGTTTTTCTTGTTTACCTAGAAAACAGGTGGAGAGTAGAACAAAGAGATTTTTGGCCTGAGCTAGGACTGAGAAACCAAGTCTAGTTAGTGAGTCAAAAAAAAGAAATGGTATCCCCTCTCTTACTATGCAAAACCTCATAAATGCATCACCTGTATGAAAACTCCTTGGACAAGTCTTAAATCTTTTCTTAAACTCTAATAAATTTGGTTGCTAATCTATAAAGAAAATGAATGTACACTTTCTAGTGTTAAACAGTCACTGTGTGTGTATGTGTGTGTAAGAACCTCAATTCTGCTAGTCATAGAGGGTGTACGTTACCCTTCAGGCTAAAGCAGGGTTATTTGTTTACATAGGATCAAAAATAATAATATGGCATATATCAATGTTTATAGTAGGTCCTGAAAAAGTACAGATGTATACAATTGTGCCAAAGAGAAAAACATTTTCTTTACAGCATTGTATTCATCAGCCCTTACCACAATAAAGCTGCATAACAAATCACCCCAAATCTTAGGGGCTTACAACAATAAGCCTTTGTTTCTCACTCACGGGTCTGCAGGGCAGCTGGGATTATTCTGCTTCAGTTGGGGAGTTGACTACGGTTGGCTCTAGGCTTTAGGTTGGGTTCAAATCTGTTCATGATCTCATTTTGGTGCTCAAACTCATGAGGCTTTCGCTACCTGTATTATACTCTTCTTATTGTGATCACAAGAGTGGACGGGGTGAGTGAAACAGCCTTTTCTGGGAACTGTCCCACAGTCATTTCTACCCACATTTCACTAATTAAAATTAGTCACATGGCCAACCCCACCATCAATGGGTAGAAAAATTGAGTTTGCTTCTAGGAAAATGAACTGCAGAGTTATATGGCAAAAGGTTCATACATTTTGTGAAAATAGGAAGTGCCAAGGAATTGAGAAAACAAACCAGCTTACCAAAAATATTAAGAGGCTCTATTTAAAACATTGAATAGGGAAGTGGTATCATGAGGTAAATAATAATAGTAATAGTAGTTAGTATTAAAAATCAGGCTTTGGAGCCAGGGTAATCTGAGTTTGAATATTGGCATCATTCCTTACTGACCATGTGGCTTCAACAATAGGCAGGCCTTGCAAATGCTAGAACTGGAAAAGCATTCATTAGCAAGATTTTGTGGATATCTATGCCTGTGCTCTTCCATGAACGGTAATCAGTTAGTCTTTGCTTGTATGTTTCTCCACTTGGGCAGCTCAAGTTTCTTAAAGATATTATCTAATCAACCCAGCTAATGTTGTGCCAGTTGGGGCATATAATTTTGCAACAGGATGCCACTGTCCAGTTTGTGACCAAGGTATGTGCATACTCCAGGTTCAATCAGCTGTGGTGGTGAGGGTGGAGGGGGAGTCATACGTAATAAGATTTCCTTGGCAGACATGGCTGGTTGTCTACCAAAGAGTTATGCTCTTACAGGAAAGCTGCTGTTGGGCTGGGGTGTCCTTTCCTGCATTTCCCAGAGCCTCCTGAATGTAGGTTGGATCATGTGACTAGGTTTTCCCAATAGAATGGAAGCAGAGATGGTCTGTACCACTTCTAAACAAAGGACCCTAGAAGCTGATGCCTTTTCTACTCTCTACTTTCCCATTCAGTACTTAAATGGTGAGAACTCCAAGACCCTAGAGGAGGGCAGAGCCACAACAGGGAAAGAGGTTGGATAACTGATTGATCACATGGAAGGCTTCCTGTGAATGATACACTAACATTTGAACTCAACTTTTTTTTTTTTTAATATCAGTCAATAAAGACTCCATTTCACAGCATTGGAACAGAGCAATTGCCCTTAAAAAGGGCTGATGGCATAGCAGCCATTGGGATTAGGGTGTGGAATGAAGCAAAACATAAAAGGCTAATCAGCAGAGCAAAGACTTCAGCTGCAAAGGTCTGAACATGGCCTGCTGGGAGGGCCTCCTGATGCCACACTCAGCTGAGAAGGTTGAATTCAATAGGAAGTCAGCTGTAACTGCCAAGGAGTGTGGCCTTCGCAAGGGATGAGCTCCAAATCCAATCCACACGGTTGTCCACATTTCCACTGTCACTCATCAGGGAGAGCTTTCACTTAACACAAGGATGTGAGGATTTCCTTTGTAAATCAGTTGTTCCCCTGGATATGGTTTCCGAAATATCTGTCTTAAGGTCTAAGCTGCTCTCTCTTTCCATTAGAAGCTCTGCTCACCCAACTCAACCAGTTTTAACAAAATTTTAAAAGCCATTGACTCTCTAGGGAAGGCTGATTTCTCTCTTGGCCTCCATCTGTAGCCAGCACTGGCACCAGCTATACTTACTCAAGCTCACTGATGAGGAGGAGGAGCAGGGAGCTGTTCTCTCATTCATAACCATATCTTGATCCCAGTTTCAAGCTCAGGGCTTTCAGAGGTGATAGTGGCCTGGGCCAGAGGACTCAGCTAAAGGAAGTCCATCTTTGTCTGCAGGGTATTCCAAGGCCAAATAGAAGGGAGGAAGAAGAAAGTTCCATCTCCTTCTCTCCCTCCCTCTGTCTCTCTCACTCCCTTCCTCCTCTCTCTCATTTTCCTGACACAAATCCAGTTATCCAATTGCTGCCTTCCTCCAGCTGGCACGCTACCCAGGCAGTTGAATTTACTCCATGCTCCAGCACTTTCTCTGTGAGCTGTGCTACAACTGTTTCTGCTTCTCTGGTTAAAGACGGTTCTGTCTTCCCTTGCCTGGATCTAAGCTGCTTGCCTCTCATTAACAGAGTCCAACCTCAGCCTGTGTGTTGCCACTACCCACTTTCCTAGTGCCTCCCCTTTCCTCTGACAGACACACCTTTATACTGTAGGACTGACTTCCCTTTGGACCCCAAGAGTCTGCTAGCTTAGTTGCTCCCAGCCATGGGAATAAAAGCAGAGCTCCCTTTTGGAACTCCATGGTCATCATCATAAACAAGAACCTCCCAGACATCAGTGGTGGAATGGGGGCCTGTTCAGCTGTTGGAAACAAAGGCTTTATTCTGAATCTTTTCCCGACTGATAACCAGTCTGTCATTCTAAGTGGGAAGGGTGGGGGTGGCAGGGCATTGAAGACAGGGGAGGAGAGTGCAGAGCAGAAAGCTTATTAACCTTTCCAAGAGGCTTGTGATTCAAGCTTGTAGAGCTTAACATTTTTTTTCTCTCCCAATTATTTTAATGATGCTGCAGAAAGTCCTAACTTCTGTGCTGAGACTGTGTTGCTGCCACGGTCTGGGCTGATCACATGGTAACATTCCGACCCAGGCTTGGTCACCCCGTAAGAAAAATCAGCTTGGGAAAACCACTCCTCCTTCTGCATGCATCTCAGTCTCTCTCTTAAGGAAAAAAAAAAGTCTCCTTTTTAAGAGCTTTGAAGCTTAAGTCTTAGATGTGAGCTTTGCTTCAGAGTTTATTAGTTATTATTTTATCCCCACTCACCACTCCCCTTGAAAAAGTTTATGTTCACCCAGAATGGCAATTATTTGACTCTAATTCAAACCATTTTGTGTCATTTAGATCCAGGCACATTGCTTGATTTCAATAATTAAGGGAAGGTACCAAATATTTTTGTTGCTAAAGGAGCTTTAGTCACATAAGCCAGTTTATCAATCATGTTTTTTTCTTTATTAATCATAATGTATCCCTCCCTTATCTCATTTGAGCAAGAAAATAAAGCCAATAACATAAACTTAAAAGCTAACTACTGTAGTCTGTACTTTGAACCCAGATACAAAAGTAAACATTCCTTCCTATTAGGTTTAAGATCAAGACGTATTAATTTAGGAGGTTAA